TTCATAAGCAATCATTCAGAGCACTGAATTTAACACCCAGGTTTTCAGTTCACATTTTTCACAGATCTCATTCGAAAACAGGGAAATGCTGCTCAATGTCAAAATGTTGTTGAACTCTTTCAGAGCTCTTTTGATTCAAAGAGAGAATTGTCTGGAGGAACAACCGAGCGCGAAAGGGCAATCGATAATGGCCAGTTGCTTGTCTTTAGTGCCAATGAATCCAGCATCCTGGTGAAAGCTGGAGCCCCCCCCCCCCAGTCTCATTCATTTCCCAGTTGCCTTCAGCAACGTTTCGTTCTTTCCATAGCAACTCACAGCTTCCTTTCAGGGTCTCCTGTTCGTTTCCCTCCAAGGGCAAAGGCAAAGTAGAATCAGCAACACGCAGCATGTGTGTGTGCGTGTATGTTGTAGCCTTTGGAAACGTGCAGTGATGATATACACTTCCCTCCAGAAGTTGTGGAGGCTTTTAAGAAGAGGTTGGGCAGCCCCATTGTCTGGAATGGTAGAGGGTCTCATGCTTGAGCAGTAACTTATTTTAATACATTCCCCCCACCACGGGGAGGTACGTAGCAGCCGCCTGAGAATGCGGGAACTCTCTCTTCCTGGTTTGGGCACCCAAAAGAGCCACCAGAGAGGCTGGAGGAGGCCCCTCCGGCTGTATGGAGTTAAGGGCAAAGCCTCCCCCCCCATTCTATAGGCTTTCATGCACTGCAGGCTCCCATTAGGTTTACAGGGAACATTTCTAGGTAAGCAGTCCAGACAGCCAACTTCAAATATTTTGAAGACATGTTTATTTAACAACCAAATACATGCTAAAAGAAATAATTTACAGCAGCAATTTCATAATATTCTCCCTGCCCTTCCTGGATTCTTTGCTCCCATCTGAAATGGAGCAAAATAAATACAGAAGTGAAATTGTTTGTTGGCTGATGAGGAATGCACTTTGTGCCCTGGTACAAAACAACTGGAAAAACCTTTATACGACTTTCCCACCACAGCTGTCCTACGCTGAAAGGCTAAGCCCTGCCTACCTCTCTCTTTAGGAAATCCATTTGCAGCTCCAGGGGCATAAGGCCGGCTGGCTGCAGGAGGCCGAACTGGTCAGCTGGCACTGCTGGCTGTTACCATCCCTGCCAGAAAGCATTCTTACTTAAAGGAGGCGGAATTCACTTTATTTCCACTGAAGAAAATGGACCCAATCTGCTTCTACAGCCTCAAACGAGCATAAGCAAGATTGAGAGCTACTCAATATATATGCAATTTTACTTGATGGCAAGTTTTGAAGAAAACGTAATTTTTCTATAGTTGATTCTAGAATGCTGCCACCCTGCAGATCTGCACCTATTTTTTCTTTGCAGGAGGCCTCAGGGAGGAACCCCCAGTGGAGGCAACAATTTTTAGGACAAATCAAGTCCACTAAGATGTTTTCAGATCTCCATTGTGTCTGGGAGCACTTTGTGGGCCAAGGATTAAAGCCTGTTGCTTTTTAGGAGAACGTGGACGGTGTGAAGCCACAGGGAACTATTCTGGACTCTCTAAAAAGTGAACCTTGTTCAGATACGCACTCATTAGGGGTTGTGAGAGTGTAAATAAGGAGCCCCATGCAGTCAAAATGAAACATTTTTAAAGACTGATGCACACTTACCTGGGAGCGAGACCTTTTGAACTCAATAGGAAGCGACACACATCATAAATCCCACTGACTGCAGCGACCCAAGTTTTCTGTAGGAAGACATAACTAGAGTTGTGTGTTGCAATCCGTAAAACCTTAGCAATCGTCTCAGCCTGGGTCTGGGACAGCCTCCAGGGCCTTCAAACTCTCCTCCACAAACCAAACAAAAAGTCTAGTGACTTTAAAAGGGGAACGTAAATTAAGCAAGAAATTATCTCCATATGGACGGGTTCCACATCTCCAGAGGGGATTCTTGTTCTCTTTTATAACGTGAAAATAACGCCAGTATTGTTTTCCAAGAGCAGAACATGTTTTGCTGTGATTAAGGGAGGGGAAAGTTCCATTGTGTCCTCTCTGGTGCCGCCTGGTATCATGGATACAGAGACAAGGAAGGCCATGGCTGCTCAGAAACCACTTTGGGGCATGGATTAATTTCCTGGACCTGCACTCGACCCAGTGTGGTTAGGAGGGGCAAGGAGAGGCGAGCCTGTCTGGCCTCAAGACAAGGTTTTCTTCCCTCCAAGAGCAAGCAGGGGTCCGGAAGGCATGTGGGCACCCTTGGGCAGCTCCATCTTGGGTGCCAATGGCGCCCATCCCTGAATCAAGGGGGGGGGCTGCTCAGGAGCACTGGCGCCTTAGATCCTTGAACTATTGCGATACACTCTACGTGGGGCTGCCCTTGATAGCCACTGGGAAGCTGTCAATTGGTCCAGAAGGGGGTGGCACAGGTGGCCATGGACATTCTTCGTTCTGCCCACGGAGTAACTCTGGGAGTCGTTTGGGCTCCCGTGAGGCTCCTGGGTGTGATTCAAGCCGCTGGTTGTGACCTTAAAGCCCTCAGAAGTGGGACACTTGCAGGTGGGCTGCTCCGACTGACAGGTCCTGCCCTTCCCATCCATTCTCAGAGGGAGGATGCAGCTCAGATCGCTTTGTTGAAACAAGGCCATCCTATGCAACCCAGAAAGTGTGTGTGGGGGGGTCTTCTCCATGGCAGCCCCTGCCCTTCGGAAGGAGGAGGTTCCCCGGGACATGTGGATGCCCCAAACCTGGAAGCCCTTGGGAAGGCAGCAAAGGCCTGGCTCTTCTCCCTTCGGGCTTTGGGATCACAGTGTAATTATTTAATTTAATTTTTTATTATTATTTTATTTTTATTTTATTATTTTATTTTATTGCTTTATGTGTTTTAAAGTGCTATCTTATTGTGTATTAATTATTCCTGAGTTTTTATACGTCACCCAGTCACAGAATCTGAGTTGGAGGATTATATGAATGAATGAATGAATGAATGAATGAATGAATGAATGAGTCAGTTTTGGAGGATATGAGTGCCAATGAGGATATGACAACCCTTACCCCACTATGGTTTTTTTTAATGTTATGTTTCAAGCCTCTACTGGAAAATCTATGAAGTAACAGTAATATAGTGTTCAATATTTATTTAAAATTAAAAATACGGAATTTATATCTCTTAAGAATTAAGTTATCACTTGAATGATAAAATCACTGTAAAAATGGAAAGGAAGTGAAGGAACCTGGGTACGTCAGACTATCACAGAACCCTAAGCACTGTGGTATTTCAAATATGCAGGCTAAGAATTACGACAGTGAAGTTTTAATTTGGAGAGAAAGAATGTATATGTTTTTGTAAAAATTCCAGCAAAATCCAGATGAATTAATGCCGGTGGCTGAACTTCCTGCTAGTGCAATGGAAAGACCCAGCAAAAGATGGATGAGGCCACACAAATAACACTCTGGCAGCTTGGAAAGGAAATGAAAACAAGTTAGGAGTCTTTAAGAAAGTATGAGAAAATTGCAGAAATGTGCCAGGCAAAAGTCAGAAATGAAAAGTCAGAGAATAAATGAAGGTTAGAAAAAGAACTTTTAGGAAGACTATGAGAGGTACGAGATCATTCTTTGTTTAATGTCTGTACTTCAGAAAGTTAATTTCCAATTGGCTGTACTATTTTCTTTACACCATTTTAATAGAATGTAAATGGTTTTAGAATTAGCCCATTTGGAAAATGCTACATTTGGCTGTTATTTATTTTCAAATGACTTCAGAAGCACACCGGTCAATAAGTAGTTCAACAACCACAACCACAACAGTCCCAGTGCTGACATGAGCCATGGGCATTGGGTCTAGGATCCTCATTGGACTAATACACAGGGAGCCACCAATGCCTTCTCTTCTCTTCCCGATACGAGTCCAAATTATGTATTAGGCATGGCCATGAGATCCATCTGTTGCTAATGGCCATTCTACCTGGGGAATCAAAGGTTGTCCCATTTGCACACTTTTCCCCATGATGGCTTGCCATTGAGTCAGTACGCTCAGCTCCACCATCTGGGGAGTCTGCCTTGGCCAGCTGAGGTTTCCCCTTCCCCTCAATTGGAGGAAGGGAACTTCCTTCCAAGGGGGTGGGTGAGGCCCTGAAGAATGTGTCCGTGTCTCTAAGGGGGACAGGATCCAGCCCATGCTGAGGGTCTGGGACAGATCCCACAATGCCCTTGTGCCCAGCGGGATGGGATCCTCATGAAAGGGCCTCTTTCCCATGTTAGGAACAGTGCCCTGAACCGGGGAAGGAGCATTTGATCCAAGTGAGAAGACTGGTGCCCACGGAGACATCTAAGCCAAGAAGCCAAACTTAGGTGTTCATGTTAGGGATTGTGGTTCTCCAGCCGGCCAGGAGATCTTGCTGAGTCCCCCCTCGCAGGTTCTTGGGGGTTTCTAGCTGAGCAGTAAGTTCACAGGAATCATCATTTCACCTCATGGCCCATCAGTACATTATACAAGGACGAAGTTCACAGGTTGACATAACTACCACACCTGTGGCTCATTTGGCTGGCAAGGAGTGAAACAGGCACTCATTGAGTAAGACAGACGCTCTTCAGCAGACACAAAACCTCAGCCCACGGGGAGCTCAGGCTGCTGCTTTGCATGATTCTGCTGCAGTTCAGTCCAACATGTGCATGAATTGCAAGCTATTTTATAAAGAGAACTATAGCTGACTTCAAATATTGAGTTAAGGTACAATCAAGTTTCCGTAGCTTATTGTGTTTACTGTGGTTTAAACAACAAGCCACCATTAAAACCATGACTGAGGGCGATGGGTGAACTCACAACATTTCATCCACACAATCAAATGTCTGCCTTCTCGAATCTGCTCCTGGGACCACATTTCTAATCCTGTTTAATCCAGTAAATTCATTGCAAACTCTGCCAAAATAAATTGGTTAGGTTAGGACTGCAGAATAGTCGTGTACACACACACACCACACACACACACACACAAAATAATATTCACATTCAGATTTAATTACTGCAACTTAAAATGCCTGCTGAAGAATAAAAAATATGGTGCATTTTGTCATTTTTTTAAAAAGCTCATTACTGGAAGATACATCAAGATTTGTAGAGTTAGCCCTCCTGTTCAAAAACTGCTGATAGAAGTTATTTGTTATCATGAGAAGTGCAGAGCAAAATCTTAATAACTTTTGAAATTCTCAGTACACTTTAAATAATCCAAACAGGTTTGCAAGTTCAAGCATTAATACAGATGCTTCCTGTATTCAAAATGTATGAGATTCTGGGAACACTATTTTTGGAAGATCCAAAAGAGATGCCCAAGGAAAAAAGAGTATACTGGGTTTGGTTCAAAATGAGCAAAATTTGGATAGATCTACTGAAATCAGTGGAATTTTTATTAGTCATGATGAATTGATAGTAATTATAGAGAGGAGAAACCTTGCATCCATCAATGCAATAGTGCAGTTTCTAATTTTAATTCACTACAGGTCAGTGCATTACACACTGCACATTAGGGTAGATATGACATATGGGATGTTCATCATGTTTTACCTTTCTTAGGGTAGCTTGGACAGGATCCTAGTTTTGCTAACTCAGTGGTTTACAGATTTTTAATCTTCAGGGAATTCACCTTTGACCCCGTGTCACATCCCAAGACATAGGATGTGTCCCGTTTGCAATGATTATTTCAGATCAAATTTTCACGCATTAACTTGGATTTGTGTCTTATCGCAAATATGACACAATATTGCCTGCTTCGTAGTGTGGGCAAGCAAGTCTGGTGCTTTATTAACTTGAGGGATATTTTGCTTCTCTAGACCAACTGAAAGCCACCGCTATAATCTGTCAACAAATCAAGGATTTTTCATCCGACGGTGTTCTATTTTTCCCATCCATATAACAAGATCATGAGCAGAAGAAATATTTTAATGCTATTCACAGTCTTTCAAAAAATTTAAAAAAGAAAATATACAGCTTAAGTCATTTGAGTTTCCCTTCATTGTTTCAATCGGTTTCTCTTTGTATCAAAGCATAAGATAAGACGAAGAAGCACAGGCTGAACATGGGAGAAATGAGGGAAGAGAAATATTCCACGAGGCAAAACCCTTGTCAGAATAGCTCTGCTAAGGAACTAGATAAAAGGTACTTATAATATAAATCACCTGCAATTTAGTTGAGTTTGCTTATTGTTTGTCTCAATTTCATAAACGGGGAATTAAAACTGAGCAAAAGTAAACCTGGAGCTTTTTTCCTAATTAAAAAAACAACAAAAAAAAACAACAATTAGAATATCAGAATATTATCAGACAAAAAGCCTATTCTATTCCCCACCCCCCAAAAGAGCTATCTTTGACTGCATATTGGTTGTGGTATATTTAAATAGTTGTTTAATAAAATACATCTTTAAGTCAAAGGTTAGGGAAGTCATCAGTAGTAGGGCCAGAGTAATCCCTCTGCTGTTGCCACGGCTTCAGGTAATGAATGGTTGAGGTCCATGTGACTCTAATTGCATACAGTATTAATTCCATTCTTCCAGCACATTTATAAACAAGACAAAAAGGGTGTATAAGTCTTGCATACAACCAAGTGTGAAGGTTCTGTCTCTTAGCTTTCCAAAACCCATGCAGTTCTTCAGTCAAGTTCAAGGGAAGGTCCCAGAGAGCATTTTCTCTCCACATAATCCCTTTTCAAAATGGCGGCCTGACCGATGATAGCCCTTTTCACTTCAGTCCAAAGAGAAATGCCAAGTTCATCTCACTGCACAACCACAAAACCATACGCTGGTTTCGGAGTCAGCGTATGTTCCAGAAATGTCAGGGGTCAACGAGACGAGCCCAATGGGAAATGTTTCAGCAAACTGGGCCCATTTTCAACCAAGCAGAAATCATTCAAGCTTCCCAGCTCTTTGTAAACATCCACGTCAATGCCATAGAAAACGTTCGTCTGTATTGCATCTCATTTCCAGTTATGCAAGGCTTCACTTGGATCAAAGGGTTTGTTTTTGGAGGTAATTGTCGCTCAGACACTTCGTGGTGCCCTCTCAAACTCGTGGGTCCTTCTGTTCCTACCTTTCTTATTTTCCTGTAGATGCTTCCACTTGTTTGGGTTCACCTGGGCATTAGCAGGTCTCTGCCGGCGTTGTTTGCGGTCCCGTTTCCACACCTGCTCACAGAATTCATCCATTGTGTTTAGGTTGGGATGGTTGATGAGCTGCATGAAGTCTCTATACCACACTTTCTGGATGGGCGTCATGCCGTTGGAGGCCTCCTTGACCTTGGCGCTGTCTCCTTCTTCTTCCCTATGAAGAAGCTCTTCCAGGTGTTCCGTGTCTATGATCTCCAAGGTGACCTTGAGGAGGGTTTGCATGAAGCCATGCTCCACAGCGTAGCAGAAGTAGAGCCCCGAGTCCTTCCGCTGCAAGCTCCGGAGCAGAAGACCTTGCTCGGTCCGGATCAAGCGGTCACTTGCTTTGATCTGTGGAGAAAGAAAGAAGAATGTTCCTGTTCAAGCAGGGAACCCCCGTTCTGTCTGAGTCTGAAAAGAAGGGCCTGGAACTATGTTCGGCCGTGATGGGCTCATTGGATGAGGCTTTCTACCGCTCTAGGCTACTTCTCAGGCTTTTTTGAACAGAAGAAGAAGGAGGAGGAGGAGGTAGAGAAGAAAGAAAGGAAGGAAGGAAGGAAGGAAGAAAGAAAGGAAGGAAGGAAGGAAGGAAGGAAGGAAGGAAGGAAGGAAGGAAGGAAGGAAGGAAGAAAGAAAGGAAGGAAGGAAGGAAGGAAGGTACTTGGATAGTTCAAAAAATGAATGCACACTAGTGTTAGAAATACGTTTCACTTATTCTATATTTATGGACACGTTTAAACAATAAATAAACCAAATTCATTAGTAACATTGTTGTGATGCTGTTCTGCATACACAATAAATGATCAGAACTACCTTATTTAACCCACTGAATGTTACAACATCCATCTTTAATGCGAAAAGAACATTTGAAAGCAATAAAAGCATGGTGTCAAACTAGAGACAAACAATCATGGTAATAAATGGATGCATTTATTCCTCCATATGAAGTCAGAGGAGACCTAATAATCAAAACAATCCCTCTGAGTGACTTTCAAGCTGGGCTTGCAACCTCGCAACTCCTACTCCTGGGTTCCCCAAATAAGGACATTCCAGGACGGTGGATTCCTACTGATCTCAGCTATTGTGGAGAATTATTTTTCTTCCTCTTTCCTCCTTTTATTAACAGTATATAAAACAAACGAACAAACAAACCCTACAACGTTATAAAAGAAGGGAGTGAAATGCTCAGAATTCTTGAAGTCCTCGCATTGGGAAAGTTACTCACCCTGCAAAACACCATTTCTCTCCCTTTTTGTTCCCACTGTTTCATAAGCAAAATTAAATTGGCAAGGAGATACGTCTGTGTATTTGGATTAAAGCAGCTACAGTGTGTATTTGAATCAATATATTCCATCATGTTAAGATTTATGAATAGAACACATTCAATCCATGTTTTCCTTATGGTTCAGAACAAAATCGATGTTCTGTGATTGATGTTAATCGTTGATGCCATCCAGACTGATGGGATTCTGAGTTCCATCTTGAGTCAACACGGAACGTCTGTGGTTGATGGGAGCCTTGCCCAACACATGGAGCGGAAACAGAAAGACGGCCTATTTTTCCCCATGGTTTATAAAATGAATCTGAGAAGACTTTGGGAATCTAGTCCCACAAAAAGCGTAGCTATTGCCAAGCAATGAATGAACTATGAATCCTTCATATAAAATAGGGGTTTCTGCCTTTTACAATTGTTTCCTTTCTTCTTGCCTCCGCCTACTTCCCCAGCTCAGGCAAAGCTCTCTAGCTTGCTTGGAAAAGGGGCTTCCCCTCTACCAGTGAGGTGATGGATGATGGGACCTTCCGGGCTGCTCAGCCCCCTGCATTCTCACTAAGCCCCCTTGGAACACACAGAGCCCACCCGTATTCTGTGGGCAACCGGTCTGTGGGGAGACGCGTCAGAGACGACTGCCGAGCAGCTTCCATCACCCAGGAGGAGAACTTCCTTCCCCAGTGGGAACTTCTCACTGGACGTTGGAATGGACGAAATGAGCAGCTTTTATCGCTGCCCTTGCAGGATGCAGGATAAGCTGGTCTCGGGCTAAATGGAAGTTCTCAGAGGGAGATGAGATAAGGGATGGTGATGATGATGATGATGAAGAAGACCATCAGAATTCATGGGCCGAGGGACACAACCTTTGAGCACCTGCTCTTACCTCTTCTTTCCGCTCCTCATTTGGCTTCTGAAACTGCCAGTAGACCAAAGCACGTTGGGATTTTGGGCTGCACTCCAGGAAAGTACTGCTGTTCTCTACTCCATAGATAATCTTCTCTTCCAGCCCGGTCCCGCTTGGGTTATCTGCAAAAAGCAGTAAGAAGAGGCGTTATTTAAGCTGCAAGATGGCCACCTGAGGTCCTCCAGAGCCCTCTGTACGTGGAAGAGGACTCTGCCATCCAGGGAATGCGGCTGGAAAAAGAGCAAATTTGGGTCTTGCAAAGCAGTGATGCTTTGCAACAATTATGTACATCTGACTTGGAAAACGTGTGTGTGTGTGCTTGTGGGTACATTTCTTCTTTAAAAAATAAACAATCAGCTCCTGGTGGCTTCATAAAAAGCCCAGAGACACTTTGCCACTACCTTATCCTGGGATGTTTTTCAATGTCTGTGCTAGGAGCTGACTAGATGCCACAGAGGCTGCGGCAAATAAAATCTAGGGTTTATGTTACTTACCTCATCCCTGGAATAACATAAATCCAGGACTTGTGCTACTCTTGTCAGCCAGGAGCTGCCACAGCTATAACTTGATGCTGTTTGTAGAAGGAGCGACCTTGATTGCTACCCACTCTGGACAAGGAAGAGAGGCATGCAGCAGGCCGGGATCCGGGATTAGCTCTAAGCAACCAGTTTCAGTTGCTCTGGCCAATCTCCTCTGGCCCATCGTGGACATTTGGCTTGCTTTTCAGGGCAGATGGGACACCAGAATTAATTTGACCAGGTATTGTCCCGCCAGTCCTTGTCACATCCTGAAAACAACAGGCCCAAGGATGTTCAGCTTGTTTTCCAAGCGTGGAGCAGATGCCCTTTGGAAACAATGCTGGTGCTGTGCTGCATAAGGACACAGGGCCTTGGTTGCTTCGGTGGCCCCTGGGGACATTATGGTGCTCCCACTGCTTCTACTGACCCGTTTTGCATGGCTGAACCTTCCCCCCATTCGTACTTTCAGGAACCACAGGACCACTTGGGCATTTGCCTCCCGTTGCCCATCATCCCACCTGCCAGGATCACCCGTAGCGGGAGAGCCAGAGGAGCCCACGGGAGGTGAAGATCAGAAGGTGCCCTGTGGGGTCTTCTCAGACCCTGGAGACTCTCTTTGATAAAGACGGCAGGAGCTCCGGCTTCACCTCCGAGTGGTTAAAGCAAGCCCACCGCAGCCGAGGCAGAGCTGGAAGCTGAAGGCATCCAACAGAATGTGGGAGTCGGCCAAGAGGCTCCTTCAGCTGGATTCTCTTCTCATGGGAGGGAACAGCCCCAAAGCAACAGGGGCAGCGAGCAGGACATTCCTTCTGCTTCACCCTGAGTTTCCTCTTAAGCCTGTCCCTGGTTGCTTAGCTGGTCCTGATACAGGTGGCAAACCCGCCCTTCCAAGCACCCCCCGAACTCTCCCTACCTGCCCCCTTGCAGGCAGCACTCGTTCAAAGAGGCAACAAAGCCAGGGGGATCCCCAACCCCTTTCATCACCCGGCCTACAGTAGATGAGGCCAGCCCTATTCCCTGCCCTCAAAAGAGGTAGGAGAACAGCCGTTGATAAGTGGCAGGATTTAGGCCAGCCCTTTTCTGCCAGCTCCCAGGTGGACATGAGTTGTGTGTTTGTGTCTGCCACGAGGAAGAGCCCCCCAGCCAGCCTATTTCAATGGTCTGGGGTCGGCCATTTTGGAATGGCACCGAGGGCTCTTTCCGTTCCCCTGGTGCATCTTTGGCCACCCCCGAATCCTCCTTGGCCCCTGAAAGACTCCCGCCTCAATGTTGCGCAGACTGAGGCACGTCTAAGCCCATTTGCTTGGCATGGCTGGCTTTGCATGGGCTGGGGCCACTTCCCTGTGGCACGTTTTCTGTGGCTGTCATTTGTCAGAGATGCTGGTGAATGCTAATCCCAAGATAAAATAGTTAACCTTTGCCCTGCCCCTTGGCTTCCACGGCGTCTTTCTTCTTCTTCTTCTTCTTCTTCTTCTTCTTCTTCTTCTTCTTCTT